AATTACAGCCTCATAATGGCTCCTCTGGTGCAGATGCAGAAGCAATAGATGAAGAAGAAGGAATCAGGCATACAGTAATTATAGCAGTGGCTAACTCAGCTGTACATTAACACACGAACTAATGCAGTGGCTCCTGAAAGCAATTTATTCATAGCAGCGAGACTCTCAGCTCCTTGCATGTTTTTCCATTAAAATACACAATCCTTCATTTTTAAGACTGCTTTGTACTGAGTGAATTCTGTCACAGCAATGGAAGTGGATTCTGGATGTTCACTGTAGGAGGTGGGAGTGAGAGAATATCCAAAGAGGTTTGGATATGGACAGCATGACTTTAGCAACTGTACTTTGGATCATGCCATTATAGGCCTGAGAGGGTCAGTTGTTCAGAGGTCTCTTGCTCCAGCAACACTAAGTTTGTTTTGCATCAGTCTACATCAACGTTGGTTTTCTGTGACATTGTAAAAGGGCAGTGTGCTCTCAGTTCTGAACCTCATCTCTGACATGTATGGGTGAATATTCAGGGCTGGAAAACAGCACTTTCAGATGAGGATTGGCCTCTGACCAGGCAGTCACTGATCTCATGTTCCTGAGAGTTAATGAGAGTGTGACTTTAGCAAACAGCAGAGAGGCTTGTTTCAAGTTGGAGTGGTTTATGTGAGGTGTATATGTGGTCCAGGGAATGTAGGGGATGAGTGTCTGGATGCTGGTGAGGAATGCAGACACTTTTCTCCCAGAGCATTTATGTGACTAGCAGAATGGTTTTGCGGGTGATACTTGGATGTGTAAAAATCTGTTCTGAAACTTGGCAAAATGCCTTCTTCCTTGGTTTTTAAAGCTTAATCTGTTAATCCCATTCTTACACACACCAGATCCTAAAGCAGCCCACACATGAGCTGTCTGAAGGCTTCTTTGCTATCCTGGCGCGTGCAGAGCCTTTTCCAAAGTGTTTGCTGTCAAGTATAAAGCCCACTTGAATGGTTGTGGTGTTATGGGTCTCCTACGCTGGGACTGGACTTCTTGAACTCTGAAGCTGTGACCATGGTCACCTCAGAAAGGCTACGGCTGTGCTCTCCCCCCTCTCCTGGTGGGCCACATAATGGGTTTCTAGCAAAGCAGAAGTGTTCTTGGTTAGCACATTTTCACTCTTTTATCAAGTATCACAGGAGAAGCACTGTGACAGTACTGACCAAGGAGAATGAGTTGCATTGGTTTTATTTTTGGAGTTAGCTAAGTGTCTGCTAAAATCCATCATAGTACTGTGGGATCTAAAGGTCAGGTTTCTTTGTACTTTAGCATTGTGTTATGTTTGAAGTTGTGTTCTTCAGCTCTGAGCCAACAGTTCTCTGAAGGAGCAGGAGGGGTGGTGGGTTTCCCCATGGGTAAAGGTACCCTGAGCTCTCACAAAGATGAGGCACTCATGTATTTTTATGTCTCTGAAGAACTTTCCTATGGAGTTGAACACCCTATGTATTGCATCCCCTCCCTAATCCCAGATCCGGAGTCTGTATTCAGGGATTAAAACAGTCTATACAGAATTTTCCTGCAGTTTAGCTAAATAAGGTACAGTTTACACATAGCATATTTTGTGCTACAGACTTGTGCTTGCATAGGAATATAAAAACAAGTTGTACTGTTGCCAGTTTGAATTTTCTTGTTAAATTGGTGTGTGTGACTCGTATTTTCTGTCTGGTTTTGAATAAGAAACAGGTACCCAAGGATGTGGCCAGCATTTTTAATGTCCCCAGTGACAGTGAAGACTTTCCAGGATTCCAGGACGATGTTTCCAAACAGAGCTTCTTGTCAGAGAACAAGTCTGCTAGTTTTGATTCCCTGGAGTCTGGAAAAGAGGTAGGAACAGGTTGCCATAGTCGAGTTATGCTCTTGGGATGCAGTAATACTCTAAGCCTGTGTAAAAACTGTAAAAAAAAAAAAAACTGTGTAAAAACTCACACCTTAACCTGTAATTTGCAGTGCCCATATTAAACATAAATGTAAACAAACTTAGTATTTAGGGTTTAGTGGTTGCTTTTGAAAACTCCTTCATTATATAAAGAAGTAAATGTGTTTCGTTTGAAGATGAGTTTAAATGAGATAGGTAAGTATATATTAGGTGGGCAATTGTGAGTATGTAGACTTCAAAGTATTTCTTCCAGAAATATTTCTGTGCTGTCTCTGCACTAAAATTGTGCTTTAATAGTGGTAATCCAGAGAAACTGGAGCTCCTGCTGCAGTAGTGCAATCTGCTGGTTCTTTGCTCTCTTGATGGTGAAGTGGTTTGGATCACCACAATGATTTGATTTTTTTTTTCTGATTTGGTAGTTGGAGTTACCAGCTGAATTCACAAGAAGGGAATAGAACTGGTGTGCTGTCTTAAGTGGCAAAGCATTGAGTGTTTAGTCTTTTAGAAACTTATAATTACATGCTTGATAGCCATGGGCTAATGTCTTATAAGACACTTTTGTCAATCTGTGATCTTGCAAAGGTCCCTCTATTTCATTAATGAGATAATTGAATTTCTTTACTTTTATTTTTCTAGTCCATCAGGTCAGCACCTTGTTAAGAGGTGCTTCTGACAAGGAAGATGGTTAGTGTTAGCCAAACAGTACAAGTATGTACCGTTTATGAGCCTTTATAGGCAAAGTGACCCGAGGAGAGTGCAGAAACCTTTTTGGAGTAGAGCCACAGTCTGTGCTGTGGAGAAAGATAGTGTCTAAAATGTAATGAAGTGTACTGGGCTTTAAATTGGTTTGTAATTTTGTTGCTAGACAGCAGTACTGGCAATTTCAGAAAACCAGGAGGTAGCTTGCTGTTGCATTTGTGTTTTCGAGAGGACCATCAAAAAGGGTCAGTGGGGAGAAGTAGTGGTGGTGGGTGGAGGGGAAGCCTTCTGTGGAAGCTTCTACTTCTGCATACTTGGGAGCTGCAGACACCTGACTACTTTTCTCTCCCTTGATTTCCCAACTTGTGAAATAGAGTTTATGATAATGATCTCTTCTGCAAAGCATTTTAAAATCCTCTGAGGAAAAATGCTGTGGAAGAGATAGATACAGTTAGTTTAACATGCATTCCTGAGAATCCCAGTGAGACTTGTTCCAGATTTACAGCTGGCACTGCAACCTTCCTTACTATTCCTGTATTTCCCTTGGGATGAGAATTATTTAAAATCTTGATCAGTATTGAATTTAATTTCCTTACCACTAAATGGTACAATAAAAATACCCTGAGTTCCATCCAACTGCAGCATAATCTGCAGTCCTTGCACATCAGGGCCCTGCATCAGGATGAGCATCATCTAGTGTTCATGATGCCAAACACCACTATTGCTGCAAAAGGCCATTGGTACTTGTGCAGGAAACAAAAGAGTTTTGGTGCAAAGGGCAACATGATGGGAAGTTCAGAAAAATTCAGCAGTTCTTGAGAAAGGAGGCAAGGTAGCTGCCCTGCTGGGGTGGCAAATGGGCTGTTAGTGCATCAGGTTTTCCCTTGGATGCTGAGGGGCAAATGAGTTAACAAGCAGTGACCTCTGTGTGCGTGCTTTTCCTCAGGGCTTTCTGCAGTCCTGCTCTGATAATCTCTGCGCTTCTGCCAAGTTCCCACAATTTCTCTCAGAATAGGTATCCCTGATGTGTATTTTACCTGGTGTAGACTGTTCTTCATAAAGGAACAGCATAGCTGTAGGTGTGTTACTTGTAGTTACTTTAGCTAACAAATAGCATATTTCCCCCATCAGCCTTCATTGTGGAATTTCATAAAAACACAGAATACATAAAAATTTCAGTTTCCTCCAAGAAATGCAATTTAACTTTAAAGTGACTTCCCTATTGTGTTTGTTCTGTCCTCGAGCAGCTGCACTGCAGCTATCAAAAAAGAATAAAGTAATTTTCCTCAGAGAAACCTCATTACAATTACCCATAATAATTTGTAGATATTTAAGTGTAAAGAAACAGCATATGCAATGGCTTCCCCCTCCCATTCCCCTCTAAGTTTTTCCACTCATCTATTGTATCTTTTTTTCACCAGATAATATCTTAAAATAAAGAAATGTGTAATTAAAGTCAGGGAAGGGAGGGAATTGAAAGGAAGAATAAAGATATTTAGCAAATGCATTGTATTAAATGTAATTTTGTTTCTTGTGTGGGAGGAAGAAGTAACAGAGGAAAACTGGGGAAACAGATGTTGCTGACTTTCAAGAGGCAGGTGTGATGTGAGCATGGATTATGTTCCTACCAGGAACAAGTTTCTCAAGAGATTAGCAGGAACACGTTGACTAAATGGCTTTCTACTAGTTCTTGTTGGAAGTATGGAAATATATTTCTATTTAATAAAAGCCTTGTGTTTAATTGGAATGTAATATACATATAATGAAGAGTGTTTTAATGAGATCTTTTTACTTCCTGGTCTATAGGCTGAAATTGAGGCACGGTCTACCCTAGAACACATGTAAATAATAAACTGCACCAAAAAAACAGCAAGTTGAGAAGGTGGAGGGATATTAATCAAGCTGTTCAAAGCTCTCATAATTTGTGTTGGTGTCAGTCAGTTCAGTGATGGTGTAACAGCATGAGGAGCAGACCCCATCTCTCATTTGTATTTTCTTTATTCAAGGCCTGTTGTTTTCATCAAGAAGAAAATACATAAAACAACATGATAATTTACATACAAGAAAATATTTTTATTGAGTAGTAATGAAGAAGGGTAGAGGTGAAGGAGAAGGTTTCCCCCACAAGAAGTACCTCTGTTAAGGCCCTGTCCTCAAAATTAAAAAAACCAAATCTTGCAAAGTTAAAACAACTCAATATTGAAACCGAATATTGTCTTCTTGTTGTTTGTTTCTTCTGACAGGCTTTGCCTGCAAAGTGCTTTCACAGTGTGCTATTTAGTTGGCATGTCTTAACCCTCAAAGCCTGTTTATTGTGGCTGTGTGAATATCCTATATCTGACTTCTCTCACAGCTACTGAATGGTATTTCTGCAGGGGCTCCGGTTTCAGTCCAGATACCTCACTGAAGAGCTGCAGAGGATTTTCACTGAGGACACTGACTCTGAAACAGAAGTGTTTGAGGGCTTTCCTTCAAACGAGGTGCATGTGAGCAAGAAAGAAGTTCTGGTAAAGGCAGTCACACCTACATGTGAATGTATATGTTGACTTCTTTTTTTTTTCTGTCTCTTCTGTGTAAATTTCATGTTCTTGTAGGAATTTTTCTGATATACTGTGATGGCCTTTTTTCATAGTGAATTAAAAAGTGTTGTCTTAAAAGAGAGAAAGAATGCTTTATTGTAGCATCACATATGACAAATGAGAACTACTTTCACTGCTTGTAGATTGTATTGGGCAAGATTGTTCCTCTGGAGACAGCCATATCTGTATGCCAGACAATACTAATATGTTTTGTTGATCTCTGCACGGGCAGAAGTTGCATACTGTGAACTGGTAAAAATAGGTTCAATTTAGGTGAATTTATGGTGATGCCTTTGGGTGGAAAGACTGCTGTCTAGAACTAGTGATTTTAAAATTACCTCTCTTGTGTCAGAGCCAATAATGTAACATGGGATTTTTTTCTGCCTCTAGATGGTGGAATCAGACTTGAGTGATGGAGAACGCGATAATTTGTTGGGTAATGAGAAAGAAGAAGAGGAGGAGATGAAGAAGAAGGTTTCCCCCAGGAGAAGAAGCTTTGGCCTTCGTGTTGCTTTACAATTTCCCACCAGGAAGTCATCTGAGAAAAAAGTGCCTGATCAGGCTTTGTCTGATTTACCTCTAAAGGACAGTGAATCCCTTGCACCTCTTTCAAAAGAAATAAGCCTCAAGCACTCAGACAAAGTAGAAGGCTCTGCTTCAGAGTCTGAAGAAGACATCAAAGAAACACAGGAGGAAAGTTCCAGTGCACTGCTTAAGAGAGCCATAAATATTAAAGAAAATAAAGCCATGGTAAGACTTAAGAGCAGTGTTTTGTTCTCTGACATTTACATCCAGTTACTTAGCTTTAGTTAGCATACTTGAATTTTAGGGTCCCTGCTAGTGCTGTGCTGGAACTTTGGGAACATTCTATGGTGTTTTTTTTCTACCTGGGAAAACCCTAGAGGACCCTCAGCACTCAGACATTTACCCCTAAAAAACCTCAAGTAGGGATTAGCCTGGTCAAGTTTAAAAACAGAGTAGAACTAAGAATTTTTAATAGAGTTACAATAATAAAGTTACAAATAACCAAGTTTTGCAGCCTTCAGAACATGTTAGAAAACCAGCTGGTCCTTTCAAGTAGTTTATGGTGTCATGTGCACAATAGTGTTTCTACTTTTTGTTTATTTGTGACAGATCTGCTGCAGTTACTGATTGGAAAGCCAGCTAAAAACTACTGAGAATGATAAATGTAATTTTTCAGTTGTACGGGATGTGATTTTTAGAGTATTGCTTTACTATATAACTGCTGAACATGTGTACATGTGTTTTGGTGTGGAAAAGAGCAACTGATCATTTCCTAATGTTTTTTCCTCTATTATCCAACATGCTACCAGCTCTCTTTAATTATCATGCTGCTATGTAATCCGAACTGATGTTCAATCTTTAGTAGCTCCTTCAGTTTTACTGTGTTTCAGGGAAAGTTGCAGCTTCCAAGCAGTCTTGGGGCTCAAGCAATACCTCTTGGTGTGGGCCCGCAACTCCTGTGTAAAGACTTGCTTCAGCTTTGTACCTCTTTGCACTTCTAATCTGTCATGTGGCCCCACTGCTGTTGTGTTGGTCTTGCTGCTCTTTGGTCCTTACCTTCCACTCTTCCTTGCAGTTCAGCTACTGTGAAATTCACTGACATCCTATGAGCTGTACTGTAATGGCATTAAATAGCTCTTAATAAATGCACACTGAAGTATTTACTGAGAAATATTGTATTCAGCTTTTAATCTCTTGATGGCTGTGGCAATCTCAGAGAGTTAGCAGCTTGGCTTATCCCCACTACTAGTGGCTTTTCAGAAGTTAGCCTCATTCTGGAATTCCAGAACATGTCAGTGTCCTTCTTTACATATCAGCCACTTCTTCTGTCGAAATGTACTTCCAAGACATCATGTGCATGGTGCAAGAAATCATCATCCTGCAGAAGTACTTCTGGTGCTGTACATGATCAGAACATGCATACATTGGAGGAACTGCCAGTGGGGCTTAGTTGCTCTCTTTGTAATGAGTGTGTACCCAGTGTCTGCACTGCTTAAGGGGATGCTGAGCTCTGGCAAAGAGCACAGATGTATCTGCAGTGAGGAAAAGCTCACTGGGAATATCTTACTGTCTTCTGGTACCCTGTCTTTTCTCTCTCCTGTCATATGAACTTAATTTCTCGTTACCAATCATTACCATGTTGTAATGCACTCCTTTGGTGCTGTTTTGACAAGATGCTATGTAACTCTGTCTAGTTCTAACTCCCAGTAAGAATTAGTGGGAGCTATGAAGTTAGTATTGTTGGCAGAGTTTTTGCTTATGGCATAATAAATAAACCCCTTTTATGAGCCCCGCTTTATTTAAGTGCTTCCATAAAGATTCCCTGCACATGTTTAGCTGTAATTTGAAGTGCATGTGAAGAATGGATGGTAGGTGGTGTTGCTTTTTTTGCAAGTTTCAGTGAGTTTTCAATTTGACATCACTTGATTCCAGCTTGCCCAGCTGCTGGCAGAACTGAATTCCATACCGGACCTGTTCCCGGTGAAAACACCCTCCTCAACTCCTTCAGTAAGTTCCCAATACTGGTTGGTGATGATAGTAATTTTTGTTAGACTTCGGATTAATGAATTTATCAGAAACTTCAGCAACTTTGTTCTGGTTTTCTTTGGGTTTGGTTACTTTATTTGTATAGATTCACTATTGGTCGGGAAGTGCCAGAGATTATGTGAGGAAATGGAATTTTGTAAGATAATTTATAAAGAAATACATCCCAAGACTCCAAAATTAGGAATCTTCAACTAAATGAAGCAGCTTCTTAATACCCTTTCAGTTTAAAAAGTTTAAAAGAAAATTAATGAGAATTCAGCTTGTTCCTCAAACTGTATTCCTCAATTTTCCTCAATCGTATATTCAGATTGTGGAAAAATCTGAATATTTAGCTACCAAAGAGCAGTGATAACTAGCTTCCACCTTAATATGCCACATGTTAAATTTTGGTATAGTTCTGTGATGTTAATTGGAAAGGAATTTGATGAGAAGGTGTGATTTTTAAAGTAGCAGAAAGGTATAGTGTGTAGGGAATATATTTGGTGATGGATTTTGGCTGAACAAATAAGGAGTAGGAGAACAGTAGATCAATTAATGATAGTACAAGTGTGGTGCAGATATTTTCAGGTTGTTTCTAGTGTTTAACACTACAAACATAACTGAAAAGACAGTTACTTGGATTTTCTTCTCTTTGTAGAAACCGAAGAAAACCCCAAGGAGGACATTCTCTGAAGGCCAGATAACACGCCGGATGAACCCAACCAGGACTGCTCGTCCACCAGAAAAATTTGCCTTGGAAAAATTTACTGTGTCAGCTGTCAAATTTGCAGAACACATCCGTAGCTACAGACAACAAAACCTCTTGAAGAGACTCAGTGTGGTATTTGCCAGATTTTGATATCCCCAGTAGTCAGGAGCTAAGAAACGTTTAAATTGTTGGCCAGCACTTAGACCAGACACCATGTCCTGCGCAAAGTTATTGAAAGTCTTTGGTTGGGATTAGCTACAGAAGAAGTTATCTCCAGGCCTTTCTGTCTCATATTTCACCTGTTAAATGGGCTCTGTTTGTGACCGGTGTTACTCAGGCATAACAAGGCAGTTAACTTCTGGTCTTTTATTAATTCTTCATTTGAAAATTACTAGAGCTCTTAATGTATAAATCCTTGGAGTGGCAAGGCAGTGGGGTGCTGAAGGTGGCAAAGCAGATCTTCTCTGTTACCAGACTCAGGATAAAAAAGGGAAAAATCCTTCCCTGGAAATAGCAGATAGAAGATTTGAGTTATGTGGCTGAACTGAGAATGAATTAAGGGAATCTGCATCAGCAAACTGCTAATGTAAGGCTAGTAGTGGAAAAGTTGCAGATTTTACTCTTTCCTATTTTTAAAAATAGGAGTTTTTCCTTCTCTAGCTTATGGTGGTCATTTGTCTTGCTTACATTTTCTTAGCCCTTATGAGGAAGACCCTTTAATTTTGAATCCTTACATGCTGGATCCCAGTTCTGCTTGTAGGAACAAGTGCTGGACATAGTTAAAGCATTATAGAGGGAACTTGGCTATTAGAAGAGGAGTAGCACCAAATGAGAACCTGGGCTGGTAAATTATGTTTTGGACAGAACAGAACTGATCTAGAGTGAAGGACAAATGAGGTCTTCAGAGACAGGTATGGGAAAGCTAAGAATGTGATGAGATTTGTTCATGAATAGGGGTCAAAGAGAATGATGACTTAGAAGGAAAAAAAAATCACTTAATAGTGAGTGGACGACTCTCTTCCAAATAACAGGTTAATAAGAAAGGGCTGGGTAAGACAGAACTAACCTGAAACTTCAGTAGAGTTTTTTTTTTGCAGGACATTAGAGATTGTCATTGGAGAAAGCAACTAGAGAACATACAAGGAGATTGAAGGAGGAAAGCAAGGGAAGGCAGATGATCACAGTTCCTGATTTTGAGAGGGAAGAAATGGAGTATGAAGAGTTACAGTGGAAGAGGATGGGAAATGTAAAGAAAAGTTAGCAGTAAAACATGTCAAGGATTTGTGCACACAGAAGTAGTAATGATGAAAAGGAATTAAATAATAAAAAGCATAGTAGGGAAAAGATTATGGAGGAGAGGGAAAGAAAGAGGAAGGGGTGATTTGGAAACTATTCCCTGTTCTTCCAGTTTGCCAGCTGTGGACTGCATACTCATTGTAAATGAAGGAATTTGTCACCAAGTGTGGTGACAGAGGCTTCATGACATCAGACAAAAGGTACTGAGATGAGTTTATTTAGCAGGGGGATTGTGGAGTACACAAAAGAAGGAGATCATCAAAGTACTCGACTCATCGCCCGGTAGAAGACATAACTGAGGAGGACTTGGACAACATTGCAATCACTGTTAGAGACAAAGTCTATGACAAAGTTCTTGTAAGTGGTTGCCATATTCTTCAGTGTGTCTGTGTGCTTGAAATGAAAAGTCTCTCACTATTTCACTGGTGTTTGCTAAAAGGTGTCCTTTCCTGAGGCTCTGGGGAATTCAGCTCGTTATTATGTCACACAAGTACAGCTTTGAAAGCTTTGCCAGACTTCTCTGTGCTTGGCTGTGGTGGTTGATACTCTCCACTGGCTTTTTGCCCCTGAAAAGTGTTTTTGTGCCACAGAGCTATTAAGTCAAGTTTGCTATAGCTGTTACTTGCCACTGGTAAGTGTTGGCATCCTTTTTGTCTCTCTCACTAATAAAAATGTGTTGTACCCCTAAATAATAGTAATCCCTGCTGTTCTTTGTACCTCTGGAAATGATTTCTGTACAGGTTGTGTAGTGTCCAGTGTCCTTAATGGAACTCCTCCTTCCTTGCTTTCACTGGATTTGGGTATTATTGATTATCATAAAGATCATCTTACGATGATGTCATGCTTCATGGTATGGCAGGGATAAGTCACAAGATAATTTTCTCAATAGTTTTAGGTTTTTCCTAGAGAGAAGAAAGGACAAGAGCTGTAATTATAAGGTTCATGTAATTTAAGAATTCCATTGCAACTGAAACTTAGCACTGTCTCTGTAAAATTCCTAGCATTGTTATATGATTTATCACAGTAACAGAACTTGCTCTTCATTGTTTAATTTGACTTTGGTTTGAAGTTTGTGCTTATTATTATTGGAAAAGCTCATCAATGGGCATTTAAGATGCCCTTCATATAAATGTTCTTCTCTTCCATTTTACCTTAGGGTAGTACTTGCCACCAGTGTCGACAGAAGACGACCGATACAAAGACAATCTGTCGCAAACAGGGCTGTGGAGGAGTAAGGGGGCAGTTCTGTGGACCATGTCTTCGAAATCGGTATGGTGAAGATGTGAAGTCAGCTCTGCTTGATCCAGTAAGTACCATTCTTGAACCTGGAATGAAAGTGTAAGGAATAGTTTAATTATTAATCTGTCATGTTAAGAGCATGCTCATAGTAACGGTGTTAAAACTTTTTTTGCCAAGAGCAGATCTGTAGTACTAACTGATGGCTCTGATGTGCAACCCAGTGTGGCAGTGGCTGCTCTATTAGCACCTGTGCTTTTATGTGCAGTTGCTGGGTAGCGTGGAGGTGCCTGACGTCATATACCAGCTGGTTAATTCAGTCCCAGGAACTGTCCTGTACCAGCAGGCAGAGAGAATCAAAAGAACTTGTAGTAGTGGGTACCCATCTCTCTAGGGAGTTGACCACAGTCAGCCTAACATGGAATGAATGTTAGGCATTACAGATGACTTCAGTCTATTTGAAAATCAATACTCAGCACATTAGAGAACCTGAGGCTTCAGAGTAAGAAGTATTCAAGCACTTAATAATTTCTCTAATCCTGCAGAATTTGGAAAGTGTTAAGAAGGTTGGCTGGCTGGCTGATAGAGGCTTGTAAAACCTTGCCCTGAACAATCACGTGGTGGGGAAGCCATATTCTGAGCAACAGGAAGGCCAGTATAACATTTTTCATAACTTGCTTTTCCCCTCCTCCCACGTTCACGCCCCTGCAGGCCTGGATCTGTCCTCCTTGTCGCGGGGTGTGCAACTGCAGCTACTGCCGCCGGCGGGACGGGCGCTGTGCCACCGGCATGCTCATCCACCTGGCCAAGTTCTACGGCTACAACAATGTCAAGGAGTACCTGGAAAGGTGACAGCTCTGCCCTCTGGTCATTCCTTTTTAAACTGTTACAACCCTTCAAATAACATTTGACTTCTTGTGCCCTGGGGCAAATCCTGCACCTATGCAAAAGAAGTTGCTTGGATTTCAGATTTTTTCCTTGGCTGAAATCAGCTTATTTGAAGTGAGATATATTGTGTGTGTAAACAATTAATTTGATTAAAAAATTGAAAGACTTCTGCCTATTTTGAAATTGATTGGTTGGCTGAAGTGTACAGAAGTGCTGTTTTGGAAGTTATCACCTTCAGCAATGGAAATTTGTGGGGAAGCTGAGTTTCCTAAAAATCACTAACACTGTTTTCTCATATCTTCTAGTTTACAAAAGCAACTGGCGGATGACAATTGAGAGCACCGAATTCCAGCTGTGCCTGAAACTGGTTCATATGTTAACAGTTTGACTTCAGAAGTTTATTACTATGTTTTACATAAAATAGAATTGTAGTGTATAACATATTCATTTCTATTGGGAACTTTTTAATTGATATGGTCTTATGTTGCTGTCGAGGTGGGAATAATGAAGACTCCAAGTCAGAAGGCAAGAATAGAACTGAACTTTACTAACAAGTAGTGTTCCTGTTTTATACCCAGGATCGCTAAAGTGAAAGAGGATTGGTCTTCAAGTGAAAACCTTTCACACCATTGGTACACTTGGATTTAGGTCAGTGTAGCAGAACATATCTATAAACAATATGAAAAGAGAGAGAGATAATAATTGTTTACATTCCTTTCGGACTCTTTCCCAGTCTCAGCCTGGCAGAATCTCCTTTTCTCTGACTGAACTGAGAACATCCATAGTCTTATGCAAAAGATCACTCAGGAAAATGTTTTGGTAGAGAAATCTACATGCACAGACCTATATAAACTTGAGTAGTTAGTTTTTAATAGAGCTACACAACCACATGATGGAGAGCTTGGTCAAAATGAGAAATACTTTTATTTATATAATTATGCAAGTTTGCAGAAAGAGTGTTTAACAACTACCTTCAAAGCATCCCATCTTCAAGGAAACAAAACACCATTGTCTACCAGCTTGACCATAAAGATCCATTTTTCCAGCTCTGCTTTCTGAACCTGTTTCACCACCTGTAGCTTATAGAACTTGTTCTTGCAAAGAACATTCATCTGAATGCCATTATATTCTAGCCAAAGGTGATGCAATTGACCAGTGGGAGGATAGTTTTTGAAAATTTTGTTCCAAAGTGCAATTATTCACCAAGACATGAAAGTAGAAGAGTGTTTAAAAAGAATTTAAAAATAACCCAGTAAAAAAAAATCCAACAAAACTTCTCACCAGCAGTTTTTGTGTAGTGCACCTGCTGCCTAAAGCATCTACCCAGATGTTATAACTGGTCTATAGTTCAGGATTAAATTTTTTTACTTGCAGTTCATACTTAGATAGTTTTTCATTTGTACAATCAAGCTTTCAAACTACTTCGTTTAAATGAAAGATATTTGTATTGCATGTTAAAGTTTGTTAAAATCCTGTAATATACACATTTCATTTTATGTAGAGAGAATAAAGACTGATCTAAAGAAGAATATTTTGTGATTCGAACTACACACCTTGATGCTGTTGTTTCCCATTTACTTTCCTATAGCAGGTGTAATGGTGCTTGGAGATCAATAATCATTATGTGGAGAAACACATGAACACAACATTGATGGATGAGGAAATAACAACATAGACCACATAAGTGTTACATTAAGGATTGTGTTTTTGTGAGACAAATCCTGCTCCAGCTGACTGTGAAAAATACCTCTGCTTTTACAGTCATGTAGATTGAGAAAGCAGCATGTTTTATTGAAAGCTTAGTATGAAACTGCCAAGAGTGAAGCTATTCCTGCCAAAACCCATTTACCTGACTTGATTTTCAGCTTGAAAGTCAAAACACAGGTTGTCCTTTTGCTTTTATAAGCTGGACATTCATAAACATTCTTGGTTTCCCTTTGATCCACTGGATTAGCCTTTTTAAAAAATGTCTGGCATTCCTGAAGTCAGTTCCTGAACCATGCTTCTGTTCTCTGCTCCACTGGATGTCCTGTGTGGTGCCTGCAGTAATAGTAGCACCTGCTTTACATGATGTTCTGTAGTGCAAGACCAGAATAATTTGTGTTTAAAAAGTTGCTAAATAGTTAAGGCTATATATGAACATACAGATGTAGTGTAGACTTTAGATTTGGTTGATTTAGATATAGATTCTGTTGGCCTGTGCATGATCTCTTTGTTAGAATGCAGAGATGAGTCTGTAGCATCCGTCTGGACTGCACTTGTGGATTCATTAACATGTGCTTTTACTAAAAGCAGAGACTGCAGTGATAGGAAATTTTATTTATATAAACACCAACACAACCCCAAACTGCACACACAAGGTTCTTGATACTTTCCTCATCTCCAGAGGAGGAATGAAGTGTACTGCCCTTGGACTTACAGATGTTGATGCCCCAATTCAAAAAGCAACATTCAAATGACATTCTTGCCATTGCTCCATTCCCCCACCCTAACTTTCCTCTTGGGGGTTACTTGCTGTAGTAGCACCTCCTTTCCAAAAGAGTGGCTTTCTTTTCATTAAATTCGGGTCCGGTGAAGAATATGAATAACAGTGGTCTTTCTCTAGTTGCCACTGGGAGTCACTCACCTTTCTCTAATGAGCTGTAGCTTTGTTGACAGCTTTTCTCAGTTAAAACTAAAATCTCATGTTACCAGCAGGCCTGAATTGTTCCTGAACTAGATGCTTCAGTTTCAGGAAGATACAGATTCAAAAGAACAAAATAGGATGTTTTATCATGTGAAGGTCGTTAAAAGAAGAGTTGCATCTCAAAAGGTGAACATGGCTTGCATTCAGGGACAGCCTGCAACCCTATTACAGCTACTGCAATAACTGCTTAAAAGTCCAGATGAAAAAATCTCTTTTAATTCTTACACTTTGCCCACCTAATTATACCTCATGCTAATCACAGAATCACTGAGTATTCTGAGTTGGAAGGGGCCCACAATACAGATGTTCTCAAGTACTTCCCTTTATTCTTGGTATGTCTCCCCAAAAGCTTTGTAAGCATTATGACCCAGCAAATAAAACATTCATAATTCTCTATATCTGTTTATTTAGAACTTTCAGTCAAAATAGGAGAAAAAGAACAAGACACAGACAATTTTTGTGGGGTTTTATGTTTGTTTGTGGGTTTAGGGGTTTTGTTGGGTAGGTTGGTTGTTTCTTGTGGGGGTGAGGTTGTATTTTTTTTTTTTAATTAGAGTTGTGTAGATTACTTGATCCAGGTTGCCAACATGTGCTAACTGCTAATCCTACTCTGCACCTCTTGAGAGCTGCAAAAAATTTCTAGAAGCTCATTTTCGTGAAATCTATAGTTTCTGGAATAGTCCTTAAGCTTCTGAACCTCAGTTGAATTACAGCTGCTGCTTTACTAGAATGCAGACCTTGTTCAGACATACTTAACAGTTATTTAAATGCAGGAAGTATGTTTAATGATTAGAACACCAAGCTGGTATGAAATTTAAAGCCACAGTGACAAATGTCAACAATCTAGCACCATGCCTAAGCTTCTTGGTGCTGTTCTTAGGGTCACAACGCTTTAGTCCAACTCTTGATGCAGCTTCACTGCCTAATAGAGTCCCTGAACTAGGAGATCAAGCAATTTAAGTTTATTCTTACCTTGCATGGAAGGCATACAGATACAGACTCCTTCCCTTGCTGGGTGGTCATACTCCTTGATATTTTTGGTAACGCCTGCAGTCAAGCACACCTTATCCAAAGGCCAGTTCCTGTTCTACATTACGTCTTAAAAAAAAAAAAAAACAAAACAAAACTGCTTTCAATAATTCTATATCCAACAGTAATTTTGATGTCAGAACTGCCATCCTCTTGGGCCATCATGCTCAAGCCTCAGACTGTGGGGTCTGCCCTTCTCCAGAGAATGATGGCAGCCCAGCCAGTGTCCTGTGAGGAGCTCCTGGTGACCTTTCTGCTAGCCAAGTGAAGCATTTAGCTCAATGCCATTAGTGACCCATGCAGAATTTGAGCTATGTTGTTACCACGGACTCCTGTGTTATTCAGAATAAATACAAACACACATTCACAGATTCACAGAATATTCTGAGGGAAGGGACCAGCAAGAATCATTGAGTCCAACTCCTAATTGAGTGATCCATACGGAGATTGAACTCACAAGCCTTGGTGTTACTAGCACCATGCTCTAATCAACAGCTAATGTGCTGTGATTGTGACAAGAAATGAGATGTACTAGTTACTCACTACACTGCTGAAAGTTTTCCATCCCCTACTGTGGCAACAACTACACAAAGAGGATTGGGAGACTTGATTTATTTTTCTCCTTAGCCTCATAACTTTTAGAGAAGAAAACAGAATGGTACTGTGATATATGCACTGAATTATTTAAATAACAATGGCAGAAAAACTTACCCTCTTAAACCTTTCTTAAACTATAAAATTCAAGCTCTTGTTTCCTTAGCTACTTTGTCTTCACACTACTGAGTAGCCTGAAGACAAGTTTGGATTGTTCCGTCTGCATTCAGGAAAGGATTATTCTAATGTTCCACTGATTTTAATATTTTTATTTTAGCTGTGATTAACTCTCCAAACAGCATCACAAACATAGCTAACACCAGTAGTTAAAGAGAAAAGTCTGACATTGAAACCATATGCTTGGTAGCCTACATCCATCACTGCTGACCTGTCAGAAAGCACTGAGGATGGAACACGCCAGAAAGCCTCACCACTGCTGGCAGCACAACGTAGTGTGTCCAGATGTCAAGTTCTCAGCACCTCATGAGAAAATCAGTAGCCCTGAAAGAGAAGCATCACTAGCTCCTGCCTTGACTGTATGTGAACTGCTTTTTTAGACAAAATAAAATACAGATTTCAATTGTAAAGAGTAGTTTTGTCTACAGAGAAAGTATATTGCTGAAGTCACCAGAAAGTATAAGCTTACATAAATCTAAGGTGATTGTTTCAGTGGAATTTGTTTCCCTCATGTAAGTATGTCTGAAATCAGTTGTAGAAGGTGAGCAGCATGGGATGGATGGGTTGCTGGCAGCAGAGAATGTGAGTATGCTCAGTCCTGTTAAATCTTCTGTTTTGGGGAGAAATGAGCATCACAGTGAGAAGCTGCCAGAATTTGCTAACAGCAAATGGCTTCTTAAGGATGCAAATTGTCTGATACCATCTTCATTGGTATTTAAATTTCATAGTTAAACTTCCAATAAGCCAGAGCAAAGTGCAAATCAGGAACATGAAGGATTCTGACAGAGGCTCTGAATAATGGCATAATGCAGCATACATTGCCATAATGTATCCGAAGAATTTCCAGAAACAATGCCTGTTTCATCCCTGTCTAACCACTGCTGGTGGCAGGCTAACAGAATGGAATCCCACAAGATGCTAAACACGCCTGGTACTTGGGACAAAGCCTTCACTTTAGCAAAGTGCTTGATGTTTCTACAAAACCCACTTCAAGGGAAAAACTGACTTTCATTAGGACAGAATTTGGAAGAAATATGAATGGAACAAAGCTGCTGGGCTTAAATCACTGGACTAGCTCTGCATAGTAGCTAAACCCTGCCACTGTGGGGTACTTACCAGTGGACAAAGCTGTGGATGGATATGCTGGCTTAGTCCATGTGTCTGGCACAGCATCACAGAAGAGTGTATATAGCAGCACTTCCACGTGAGAAGAAAGTATCAGCTCCCCCTTCGGAGAAAAATAAAAAGCGTACATAATAACTATTCTTTCATTTCCAAAAAGCCACAAAAAGCCATGAAATAAGTAATTTGCTTTACAGTCTAGCTGTTTTAAAGACCTATAGATCTCTGAAAGGAAAAGGTCCATCACCTTACACTTTGAGGCAACCAAGAGAATAGGGTCTCCAGGCAAAAGTCTTCCTGCATTATTTCTGCTATGTTAAGCTTCTCAGGAAGCATTTCCAGAATATCACTCAGGACATTCTTAACCTGTTCAGGACAATACAACAGAGCAATAGAAATCCCAGCAAATCAAATCTTTCTGAGTCGTCTACTTTCAAGTCTGATTTCTTCAGAAGAGCACAAATATCTAATTTTCTTAGATAAAAGCAGAGATGCTCTCTCCATCACCTTTACTGTCTTCTTGGCAACAGTATTGAGAGGAATGACTGCAAGCCAATTAACACTTAGAAGCTTCTATTCAGCTTTACATTTTCAGGTAACATTGACCCTTGAAGCCTACTAATGCATTGTCCTGGACTTGGGATGACTGCTGTTACTAGGATACACCCTGGAATTGTCTTGATTTTCAGTTAAGTGTGATCAGTAGTTTGTATTTCTCTAGTACCTAGTGATTTACTATCCATCACCCCCTCCACCACCCACAGTCCTTGCTGTCTCAGGCATTAGGCAAAACATAGCACAGGCACAGACATGCCTCACCCCCAAAAAGAGCCTCTCTCCCTGCAGGCTTGCTCTGGAACTGAGACAGAACATAAATGAAGAACAATTCATAACAGTGCTAATGAGCAGGAATTGAAATTACAGCATTAATGCAGCTCAGCCTCTGTTTCAGCCCTAGCTTTGGCAGACTTAATGATGAATGCCATATGTTATAGTCCAGACTCCCCAAAGTGGATGGGGACTGAGCATGAAAAGCACAAGCTCCCCCCAGGAGATGAAGCAGTGTTTGGCTACTTGCATGCAGAGCTGTCACATTTCGTCCTGCAAAACCTCCATGATCTGATAGTGATAAGAGGAAAAAAAGGGATGGAGAAATGCAGAACTAGAGTGACAGTCACAAGGGACTTTAATTAACTTTGGTAAGGATAAGGAACCAGATAAGGCTCAGTCTCATCATATACCAGGCTTTGGGGCATCTGGACATAGTTGCTCAGATCTACACTTGGAAAGGAAGATGCAAAAGATGGTAAAATCTGAAAACAGAACTAGCTGAGATTTGTGATTATATTTGCCTTCCCTGCTCCTTTATTAATTTAATCTCTTAAGCACCTGTGATGTTCCATGCTTAAAAACCATCCTTTTAAATTGTTCTGGGAGGAGTTTGGCTATACTAATGTATCTGTGTGTCTGACATATCTTGGCTATGAACAGAACTTCAATATCCCAGTCAAGTCCATATTAAGTGACAGTGCTTATCCTGGTATTAGAGTTGGTCCATTTAACTCAGCATCTGATAGTTTATCAGATATTATTGTTCTGCTAGACTCCAGATTCTGTGGTGAGGTGCTGAGGCATCCTAATGGTCAGACATCCTCCTTGGCCAGGGTTCACCTCTTCAGACCACCCAAAAACTATAAGTCCCTGAAAAACCTCCTCTTCCTTTACTGCTTGCAAAGGAAATCTTGGAGCAGCCACAAGGCTCCTGCTCAGATCAAGTTCCCAGGAAGGGAAGCAGTGGGAGAGCCTGTGCTTGGGCTGCTTTTCCTGGCATGGAAAACAAAACCTGCACACCACTGCCACGCTGTGCTGTGAATGCAACAGAAAAAAGCTACCTTAAGGAGTTTTATCTTGCAGGAGATGGGAACAAAAGACAGAGGTCAAGACTAGACTGACCAATTTAACCAACCACACCTTTTTTCCAGTAAGGTATTTTTTGCTGTACTTGTTTATAAAAATAATACAAAAAACAACCAACAACAACAAAAAAGTGAGATAGATCCATACCTTGTTTCCTACCCCACAATAAATTCAATGTGAAAAAGAAATTTGTCTAAATGTCTTCCGAGTGCATTACCTCTGGGCCAGGCTGGTGCATTATCATAATAATTAGCACTCATCTGATCTTTTCTAATTTGATGCCTTTCCCCACCCCCAGCCTATTGCTGAAATAACACAGTAAGATGTGTATTCCACCTGTTGTTAAAAGAACTGACAACACACTGGATGAAGAACTTCACCTCTTTCACTGCAGACTAGCCTGGTCCCTCTCCCATATATATATGGGTTGCTTTTCCAAAGGAGTTTTGAAGAGATTATCTGATGTTGTCAAGAATCCCATCTCAGCATATGGTGCAGTCCATTTATCAGGGCTTTCAGATGAAAGCATTTAATCTATGTATTTATGGTATCTATTGTAATCCAGATTTGGAGAGGCCAAGAAACATGGTGCCAAGTTCCGCTTCAAGCTGTCGGAAAAAAAAAAAAATATTATTGGCAATGCTGACACCAGGAAACATTCTCCTGTAGCTACAAAGTTTCAGAAATTTGATATCTGTAGACATGACAGCTGCATATTCTGATACAATGGAGCAAGGTTATCAAAGTATTCCCAGCATAGTTACTATTTGCATAATTTCCAGACACTTCCATTTTCTGTGGGGTTGATTCTTACTTCATGAGGAAGCTTTGCATTTATTTTAAGGAATGTCACTACTGAGGCAAGTGTATTTTAAGTACTGCAAGTCTGCATCACCTCAGAAGCCAAGCAAGGAGTCTTATGCCATTTTGCTACTCCATTGCATCTCTCCAAGTACAGGAGTATTGTATGGGGTTTTTTACTGCTGCTTTGGCCTCAGTGAGATAGACACTGTGCTGATAATTTTAATAGGATTAAAAATTAAGGTCTCAATCAGCTCAGTATTGAGCCAAGTACTATTAACTGCACTGTTCCTATAGAGCAGGAAGACCCTAACTCTGTCAGGATATTTAAGATAAGACTTGGGACTTTGGAACAGATCAAGATTTATGTAGACAGGACTTTGATGAGATGTACTCACAGTGGGCTGACCTCCTAAATAAAATAAAAAGTAATAAATAAAATAAGAATGAAAGCTGTAGCCATCACATTTATTTTTCTAGACTTCCCCATCTCCTGTGCTGTAAGAACTTCACTGAATTCAAATAATTTCTCTGAACTTATTGTCATAGAGCTGTCTGCAATTTAAAAAAGGCTTGAAGTTGTTTTTGCTGAAAAATATTTCTAGCTCTAAGTGGTACTTTTCACAAAAGCTATTTCTTCCTAATGCAGGGTCCACTTCACAAAATCACAATAACATTTAACAGCTTCTGGCATTTAGAACAGTCTACAACAAGCTACTGCTCAAAATAACACCAGTAAGCACTTATTTCTGAAGTAATTTTGGTTCTGCAACCAGCCATTTACCTGTGCCTGAACTTGCACCACTAACCTCACCCACAATAAGCTGTATCTTAAGATATAGCCACTTTGAAGTAGTGCTGAGGTTTTGAAAAAAGCCCTGTTATTTACCTCGAGTGGAAGATCAATTCTGTCAGACAATCTGTACTTACCAGTCTCTCTCTGCTGGCACTTAAATCAGGTTTTACTGTGTCTGTGGGAGTCATGTGCACAGAGGCAGGCTGTGGGTTACTGGGATATGAAGCAGGAGCTTGCCACACTTCTCTCTTTATGATTGTTCCTGGGTGAGGTCTATCAAAGCTGACACATGGTGGGTAATTCTAATGGACCCTGTGGAATGAATTTATAGCTAAAAGAACTCATCATAAAGCAAGAAGTTAAAAAGAGAAGGTAACCTCCCCAGGGAACACAAAGCCCCACCACCAATGAAGGACCATCCATTCATTGGCTGCCAGTCACTGAATGATTTTCTGGTTTTGCTGGTAATTCTGGGCTTTAACTTTTTTTAATTACAGCAAGAAGCTAAGAAAGATACCTCACTGTTTAAAATACCAGTGGATCCACGCTAAGGGTTGGGTCCCTAAACTTTCCAAAGGCCATAGAAATAGCAGTGATTCTGTTCAGGTTTCACCACCTATACTTATTTTGCAATTATTTGAATTAAAGTTCAGCCTTGTGAAGGTTAATGGACTACCTAAAGTAGTAAAGCAGTAATTCTTTACTTATCCATAGGCTAGAGGCAGAGCTGGAGCCAGCAGGGTGAGCTTCCCACCATGCCCCCACGACCTCAGCTGTCATGTGGAGAAATCAGCCTCTTTCGAGGTCAGGAGTACAGTGGTGTTTAGCCTTTCCATCTCCATGGCAACTTACTCTTGGGCATCTTCTTCTGAGCAGTTACTTCCAATTGCCTTCATCTGAGTGTGGCTCTTTGACATATGAAATCCTGCTTCTTCGGGACCAAGGAGACACCAGCCGCTCCTCTGGTTCACAGCCGAAAGGCAAGATTCCACCCACTGCCAGGGGTGAAGGGGGCACTTTTCCCAGCTTAGCCCGGCTCCACAAATGGACTGCTCACACCTAACATGGCAATTTTAATTTTTTTTCCTCATAAATGAGCATTTTTACCTTTGGACAATGAAAAATAACAATTTTGGAAAGGACACTTGAAAAATCTCTTGGTTGTTTTTAGCAAATTGTATAGAGTCAGTTCTCTAAAGTGGCTTCTTCAGCAGCTAAGGAGAAGCAGACACAGTTTTTTAATATTTATATACATATTAAAAAATACATATATATGATACATATCATATATACCTATATTATATATGTGTGTAAATACATACACATGCCCCTGTATAAACATCCACATTTGTTATATGAGATTTTGCAGTTCCCATGCAGAATTTCTTGGAACTAAAGTTAAAGCAATATTTTCTTTTTGCTGCTGATTAGAAGCCACTTTGGCAATCTGGCCCTTTGGAGTCATGGATGTTCCACATACACTGCTGTCCAGGATGAAAACTCAACAATGAAATTTGAATAATTCAGTATATGTCAGCTGGTGATAACCTGACAAAGCTACAGAAACCGATGTGTGAGAAGGTAGTGGAAAACTGAAAACAGTCTTACAAGCTATTTTCTCTATTTTAAAAAGAATGAGGTGCAAGGAAGTTTATAACATTTCCACTATTTTCTGAAGAAGAAAATGTGCAAAGAGTAAGTGTAAGTTCTGAGGATGGTGCCATTCTGGACTGCTGAAACTGGTGAGTCTATCAGTTACATTGGTTAAAGAGCAGTTCCATAAAAGATACCTTCCCATGCCTACCTAAAACTTTCTAAATGGAAGCACCTTAAAATAGTTTTCCTAGGAAAATGGAGACCTAAGTGTATCTGATACCATTAAGCTCACTATACAAGCAGTGTTACAAAGTACAGAATTCAAGTTACCAATTAATGGTACTTGCAAAAGTAAACAAGCAGTATGCCAACTCAGAAACCCTTTCAGCCAAAATCCGCTCATGATAAATTATCAGCAATTTTTCTCCCCCCACAGCCAGACAAGACCTTGCTACAGGATGGATGAGAAAGTGTGTGGTCTTCTCTTTCCCTTAGGTTAAACATACTGTGTTCCAAAGCTTTAGGCACATAGGAAAGTTCTCACCAGGGCTGGGCTGAGGAAATCTTGCAGACAGATTCAGCAGAGCCTGCAGTACCAGGCACCCATGATGTGGCCACCTTACATGATCTCACCAAGGAGGTTCCTCCTGTGGAATCACCTGAGGAACAGAATGCATCATTGAATAAAACAAGACAGCTGCTTAAAGGAAAAACCAAAGCTGTTCTGAATAAACATCGTTAAGAGACAAAAAAGAAATCCAACTACTTCCTCTCAGAAAGCTTCATGATTATACATTTGCACTGCTGGGTTTGGATTTTTTCAGCAAATAACATTAAAATCAGATTTCTTTTATTTCAATCCAGTGAGAGGTATATGAGCAAAAATAGCAAATCTGTGACTAGAATTCAGCAATGGTGTAAAATGCATTATCCAAGCTTTATATTTCATACCTTAGCCCTTATAAAAAAACTTTAGAGAAAACCAAATTTTCAAAACACCACATGAGAACGTAACTTTGTGAACAAGATCTTTAAAAACATAACCCTCATGAGTAACAGGAAGGTAACCTACTGTGCCTTTCTTGGAGAGGAAACAAAAAACTTGTATCTGATTGCAGTCTTTTATATCTCCTCACTAGGGAACATTTACTTACTGAAATTCTACATTATTTGAAATAGGGAAGTATTCAAGAACTTTGGTAAAAATTGAATTAATATTAATCCCATTACTGCCCCATCATATAAGCATTAAGTTTATTGTAGAATTCTAGTCATAATGCCACAGAGAAAGCATGTGGTTAAGGGTGGCAAAACATTTTATTCAAGGAACCACTGTCTTTCTCTTTTAATTGGCTTCACAGCATTTGAAACTTCTTTTTGCTCCCCTTTGGTTTGCAAAATATGCCAGTTTGTGATGAAACCTTTGCAGACAGGAACCTTTACGCCCTTGGGGGCAGTATTTGCCTCCCAACAATTCAAGTAAAAACTTAATTATAGGCTTTAAATATTACATGATGTGACAGAACCGAACAAGTAAAATAGCTGCAGCTATTCCAGCCTGCTTGCTACATACACTTGTATGCAGCAATTTGATTATGTGAAATACTAATCCATCTTTATTTTAAACTGGTTCAAAGAAAATGAAAAAAAAACCCAATTTAAAAAAAGCCACTGGACTATAATATGCAGGGCAGCATGCTTGTGAGGAGAGGCCTGAACAGAGAATCCCTGTGAAAAATGCCAGCAACTTGGATATAGAATGCAATGTTCTTGCAGTCAGAATAAACCTGCTTTTCTCTTTCTCGGCAACAAAATATCATTTAATGTTTTTCTTATTTCATATATATTTATCTCAAGAAATTGCTTTTTCCTTTGTCTTTTGGAAGAGTATATCAATATTCTAATGCAGTACAAGCTCATTCAGCTGCACACTTCTGGGACATTGATTATACTGGGATAATCAAAGCTGGTGATATAAAAGGGACATTTTTGTGAGTGTGAGAAAGCTGCGGAGTTTGCATTAGAAATATTTTGGGCTGTCAGGTTCACATAATTGCCATTGTACTCTATACAAAACTAGTCTGTTCTACCTAAAAAACCCACAGAGCTGTTGCTGGGTGGGTGGATAATGGAGAGGACAGAATCTACTTCCCCCCACAACAATCTGGTGACAACTCCTTGAACAGATGTGTGGGGATCAGAAGGTGCAAGGCAAGAGTGGGACAATGAGGAAGGACCACTGTACTTCACATGAAGACACCTCAACTATTGCAGATTGGTGTGCTGGATTTTGTCTTAGCAGCAGGAAAAACAGACATACAAGATTAAATATTCTTGGGAAAACACTATAAATTAGTGGAAGTTATAACAAAGTAATGGCAATTTCCACTAGCTGATGAGCTAGCTCAAGTTGCCCAGTTTATGCTTTCTGGTCAATGCTTAATTGTCTTCAGGAAGTTCTTCCCAAAGGACAATAAATAATATACATATGATATTTTTATACATGCACAAGGTCATAGACATGCATATATACATAGGAACTGACATTAAAAAAAAAAACAGTTTTCTTATTTCTCTCTCCAATATCTACATTTAAAAAAATCCTTATGAAACCACAGGGTAATGAATCACTAAGCAGTACAATGAGAAAGGCCAATAAGCAATATTACCAAGAGGAGAGAAGAAATAATTCTTGCTCTTACAGACCTTCCTGGTACTCCCTGCCATCAGAATACTCCCTCTCATTAATTAGCAAAATGAATTATCCAGCTTATGAATTGTGGTTTGAAAAGAACAGCTTAAAGCAGCAAGATTTATTAGCAAAGAAAATTAAGGGTTGGAATAAGCTGATTTCATAGACTTGTTTTCTAAATGGGAAGCATTATTAAATCATCATAATAAAATTAAGGAATTATTTCACTATGACACCAAGTACCACAAAAAGGGAAAACAGCTTGATGTCCTACTAACTAAATAAAGGCTAGCAGGGCCGTGAAGACAAAAAATTAATTTCTCAGAGCAAATACAAGCTGGGAGATATGGACAAAACCATATCATCAAGGGGTGACACTTCTGTCTCTTTTATTTCTTTATAAATATCTCTGAAATTTATTTAAATTATTAAAATGGGAGAATCTATTCAATCATATCCTATATCATTCAGTAATAAATAATTACTGCCTTTTATTTAGACATTTCACATTTTCACATGCAGAACTTACACAGATGACCTCAACTCAGTATTAAAATTATACAAGTATGAAATATTCTGTAGCTCAGAAAAAAAATCACTCTCCTATCCTTAACTTTGACTCAAGGGGAACATTACTGAGAAAGTCACAACAAGGTGGCATCCTTAATACATAATAATGACACATTCAGGAAATGCACCATTATTTATACATGTGACGTGCTGTAAATTGCTTCCATCATCAGAACTAATTGTAGTGATTATTAATGCAGTGTTATGAACTGTCAGAATTGCTGTTTGTAATTACATTTGTGCAAATGCTTCATTACCTGCCTAATGAATTTGGCATATATGCACATGTAAACCCCTGTTTTTGTTAACATAATGAAGGGCATTTTTTTTCCCCTTAGCTACTGATGTGGAACCGGTTTTGCCTATATTTCAAAGTTCAAGCATCCACTGCCAGAAAACAGCCACAACCCCCCACTCCCTTTGATCTGGTTTATTTTCATACTCACCAACAGCATCACATAATGCCAGCTACTTAAATAACAGCTTCAGGGAAAGAACTGTGTCCCCCTTATTCAGTATAAATATGTGATTGAGTGGAAATGACCTTGATGTGTGGTTACCTGACCACTTCCTACCTTCTGGTGGGCCTCTGAGCAGTTGCTGAGGACAGCGATGCAGACGGAGATCTCAGGTGTGGATTTGGTACCTTCCATTCCAGCCCCAAGGGCCAAACTTCAGCCTCCCAGGAATGCAACTGTGAAAATGGCACAGAGGGAAAAGGATGCTTTTAAATTCCCCTTCTCTGGCGTGCAGTTCAAGGGTCCCCTGTCAAAGAAAAAAGGAGTAACTTACACACTGGCAACAGGGAGTGTTGCTGAGAGCTGTGCCAGCCTCAGCTGCCAAAGGGAGAACTCACCCTGGAGTTCTCCCTTTGGCTGGAGCTGGAAGGAGAGTGAGAAACAGGTTTCTAAACAATCAGAGGCTATTGGGCAGTATTTTTTCCAGTAATTCCCAGATGCAAAATTGTTGATAGTGACATTTTAATTCCCAAACGTCCCGTAGGAACAAACTGTTGTGCTACGGAAACTAACAAAAACAGTGTCTTTACCTAGAAATCTATAAATATTACTCAGATAACCACTAAATCATCCATAGACTTTATGCCAAGTAGAAAATTTACTAGTTTTAACATTTATTAAGAACCTTCAAATTCCTTGAAATTTTACACCATTTCCTGAAGAGTCATGTTTGAAACTGAAGTTTAATATTTTTCTTTTTGCCTCCATTATTTATAGGGTTAATAGGGAATTCCAGCAAAATGACATTCAGCTGTTTTTTAAATTATTTGACATTTTGCCTGTAAAATTTGCAGAAATTAATCCTTATGTCTCTGATATTTTTCTGTATTTTATCCTTTAGTTTAAGAAGTAATAAATATAAAAAATTAATTTGTTACCCTTGAAAAGAATGATTTTTATAGGGAACATCAGAGGGATCAACTCTTGTCTTTCAAAAGGAAATAGATCATCCTGAGCCGAACAACATGTAGCAGAATCTGGGCAAAGGTGAAGGATTTTATGTCTGACAAAAAAACCTCCTTAAATCAGAATGCTGAGTTCAACCATGAAAAAATACAACACAAGTTTCTATCCTGAATAAAACCACAAACCCATGAAATGTATTCCATCTAGATTAGGCATACTTTGATTTTCTTATTGCAACTAAAGAAAAAAAAAAACCTTAACCAGAAATATATTAAAGACAGTATCTGCACAGGAGTTTGTGGTAAGCCACAAACACCCATGGCTCAGAATAGTGGGTGAGAAAAGAGAGATCTCTAAAGTGTGAAGCTTAGAAATTGGTTAATTCAAATATATACATATATATTCTTTCATTAAACACAGACTGAACCAGTTTAACAATGTATACGAACCACCTTTCTTAAAAACTGTCTAAATTTTTCAGATTTCCATTGAAAGTATTTTAATAGTAAGTTATAAAAAAATTGAAAATAGAACAAAATGCTGTACTAATAGTTAACTGCTCAGCTAAAAAACTTCAGATATTCTTCCTTTCTCACAAATATCTTTCCAAATCATCCCATATCATCAAAATCAATCCATTTGTAGCTCTGACATAGCTTTTAAAATTTTTTTCTTTCCTTTTTTTTTTTTTTTTTTTTTTTTTTTTTTTTTTCTTTTTTTTTTTTTTTTTTTTTTTTTTTTTTTTTTTTTTTTTTTTTTCCCCCCGGCATTGGCTAGTATTACTTTCTAAAGGAGCTCTTACCCTTTTCACATCCCAGCTCTGCCCCCATGTGTGCTGTGCTCAAGCAGCTGCACGTGAATACCTTGCTGGGAGGCCAAAGTGTGCAGTTACAGCTGCCTCCATCGTGGTCTGATTGCTGGTGACAGCAAGCTGGCTGCTCCAGCCACTGCTGCAGGGAAGCTGACTCACACTGGAACTGAAGATCTTTCTACAAGTTCCTGGAGTAGCAGACAGGGATAACCAGGCATCTGCAGGGAAGGAGGTTACGCACAATCTGTGATGAGCTTGTTCTCCACATTCTCATGTCTTCTTTCTCCTCCTTCTTCTTTCCACCCACCAAGCAGAACCTTGCACAGGGAAAGAGCAAAAGACAAAACAAACAGCACATAACCCTTACTCTTTAATTCCTTTCTTTATGCCTGACTGCAGGAACCCATACACAGGGTACTGAGCCATTGCCTGAACACCCAGGTATGCAAATCCACTCCGTGGGAGAATGCTCATGACCATGCATTTTGGTAAATTTAGAGCAGAGCAAAATATGTGAGTACCATTGAATGAAAGAGCTCTGGCTTTAGAGCATGTACAGGTTTTTATCATAAGTGCACCACTGGCTACAGCTGGTGCAATAAATGATCTTTCTGTCTTTGTATGCATATCTGTGCATGTCTGTATTAAATAGTACAAATGTTTGTGTTATTGCCACACCTTTTCTCCTGCCTGGCACTGATGGGAAACACAGAGGTGATGCAGGGCACAGAGGGCTGGCACCCTGCAGCTGTCAGGTTAATTTGGAACCACAACGGTCCCCAGCCCTGGTCTCCCACAGAATGGTCATCAATGCTACCAGTTGTCTCCACAGGGGACAGAGTAATTAAAGCAAACAAAAGCGAAAAAAAAGCTTACTTTTACCTGGTCAAAACCACATGGAAATTAGCCAGCATCCTTGCAGGAGGTTCACCAGTAATTTTAATTGAATTTTCTAGTATTCCTTGGGGAATGATGTGCTCTTCTGTGGTTGGAGCTGGCAAAGCACTGATGAAGACACAGAAATCAGGATAACATATTGCTGAAGGAGTTTGTCCAAGGTTCTGAACCACTCAGCTACTTAGATGAACATTCCATTGAAAAATAGCCAACATGGTTATTGTGCAAAGCCAAATAAATTTGTTGTCCTTAAGGCATTGCCATTGTGACTTTTTAATGGGGTAACAGTTAAGTCATTGTCATTTCTTGGTATTTATTGAGGTTTCACTATTAGCTTCTAAAATTTAAGGCCTTGACTCTGAAGCTAATGAAAATATTATAAACTCAGGGTTAAGTGATCTGTGGTTGTGGCTGTTATCACATACAAAGACAAGCATAGCTCAGAAGATGCCTGGACTCTAACTTTCTGTAGAACTGGGAATAAAACATGACCAAGACATACCAGGAAGAAGATGGAAGTGCTAGACAGAAAAATGGTTCCAGCTATCCTGCTGCTTAGGAAATATGTCTCAGACTACTTCGGAGTGTAACTGTCTTTAAAGTTCAAAATACTTGAAGGCAGTGGAAAGACCCTGATAGATCAGAGAAGAGTGTTATAATGGAAAAGTATCTGCCTCCAAAGCACCTCCTGGTGAAAAACAGGACTATCAAGAAAAGTTTAAAATGTGGAGTGTGGGCTAATGGTGTCGTTCAAACATCTTTAGCCCAGCCAACATTTCAACTTGAATTGCAGCTTATCCACAAGCTTTTATTTGGTCCTTCACTGATGTGCCAGAACCTCCTGACTGCACTGGCAATTTCCATGCAGAAGGAATTACAGCCAAAGAATACAACATGTCACTCATGCCCTGGTTGCTGCATCACTTTATTATGAGGTTTGCTGGAGGGATATTCCCTAACTGTCCCTCGCCATGTGGAAAAAGGAATAGAGGAATAGAAAGAGAGGGAGACTTCATATCACATGATATGACTGCAGCTTGGCAGCACCTGAATTTTCATATAGGCTCCATCCATCAAATGCAAAGTGGAAGTGATTAAAGCCTTAATATAATAACAAAATAAAAATTCAATATATCAGATATCTGAATTTGAGATATTAATAATGAATGACAGAAGAGTGTAAATTGACACCAAAAAATTGAAGTCATAATTTCATCTGCCAGTTTGCCAACCACTGTGCCAACTGCTTTTGCAAGATCTGAAGCCAAAGTAATTTTTAAAGTATTTCTCAGGTCAGTCAGACTAGCACATGTAGGTTAGCTTGGTTTTTTCTTTTAAATATTTAATTTTATACTCTCTAGTCTCCAATAAAATCCATAGTAAAATACCTCATCTTTTTTCTCCAAAATTTTTTGAAATATAAACTTACAGGGTTTTGGGCCCCAAATACAGAAGACTAAAGCTTGAGAAGCACTAAATGCATCCAAATCCCAATAGTTCTAGTCAGCTTAACACCTTTTGGGATTTGGTCCAACATCTTAATGAAGTTTCCCTTTAGACTTCCCACAATCCTTCACTATCAAAAACCTTTACAGCACAATTGTTGCATTTCTCCTCCCTCAAGAGCCAGGCATAACAGGCTGGAAAATGGAACAGGTCTGTAACACAGCTTCTCAGATGTTCCCCATCCACCCTCTGCCATCTCCCATTTTTTCATTCTGCCCCCCGAGCAGCTGAGAACCCTGAAATTCCCCTGAAAACCAACTTGACTCTTCCTTACACAACATTTCTAGGCAGGATTGTTTTCAGACTGGCATGGTTAGCTCACTCACAATGAAATATGGTCAAGCACATTTCCAGTTTCATTGCTGACGAGGGGGGCAGTTTGTGCATGTTCCCACAGTGCCCAGCACATCAGGGCCCCTCATTAATCCCATGGTGGTTTTGTTTCCTCTGGCAGAAAACACTGACTCTAACCAATCTCTTCATTTGTTGCAGGCAACTGGTTGGCAGACAAAGCAGGCTGATGAGGTTAAAACCAGGAGAGGAGAGAACCATCCCATTCCCATAACCACCTTAATGTCAAGGCCTGGAACATGCACTTTCATTTGGCTTCAGGGCTGACAGGTTGTCACATTGGCTATTGAGCATGAAACATTGGGGAGGGAGCATCTTTTTTTCAGTGGCATTTACGGTTGCTGTGCTCCTGTTCACTCTGTTACTGTGCTGGGAAACCACGGCTTGCCAGGGCATCCCACGGATCTCTTTGTCCACTGCAGAGAGGGCTCCTGGTCCATACAAAGCTGGCCAAAGCAGTGGCTGCTATCTCAGAAAAGCAGCACTCCAGGACTAATCATACAGCTTCCCCAGGGACAGTCAGACCCATTTCATTAAAGTCTCCATTATGGCCTGCTGAATGGAATAGGAGCTCTTAATTAGGCGGGGGAAGGCTGTGCCTGAGGGCAGTCCTGCCCACCCACCAGGGGCTTTCTGTTTTATCTCTCCTGTTCCTCCTGGGAGAGTGCACTGTTCAGCAAAAAGTGACATAAACCCTATTAATACGATGTTTATCCTGTTACAACCAAAAGCAAATGGAACAAGATTATTAGCTTAGAACTCTTATTGCTTAGATGTAATCCACTGCATATTTTGTGTTCTGGAAACATCCCTCCAGCTGAGGAGGTATTCCCCATCAGAAAGGCAGTTTGACACTCACTTGGAAAAGAACCCAATGGCCATGTGGGGCAGCTTTCTTGAGTGCCTCCTTTGCAACCATCTCCTGCTTTTGTCCTAGAGTGATGTTATGAAATCTTCCTGAATCTATAGTGAACCCAATCTTTTTGCCTGCAATAGAAATAATTGGGGAAGGGTAAGTGATGGAGGGGGAGGAGATGGGAAAATTAGCAGAGCAGGAAGGAAAAAGAATGATAAAGCCCCCATTAATTTTACTATCACTTGTGCAGTGCATATTACTTCCTCTGAAGCACTTCACTAAACCCTTACAATTTCAACAAGCAAAATTGCAAGCTCTCAACAGTGGCCTTATTGCTGGTATTAGAAAAAGCCTGCAGAAATCTGTTCCCTTGGTTTTAAGATAATGAACCTTTTGACATTTTGATAGATGCTCAGCATTGTTACTGAGCTTTAGAAACTCTTATGGGGGGTACAGAGCAATTCCCTCATGAAAAAGAGAGCAACATGTGGTAGATATCACATCAGTTTTTTAACTGATTGGTTCAGTGGGTAAATGCACAAGCCTCTCACCTTGTGGGGCCTGAGCTTAAATTGAGCACAGTGAGGTCACAGCTGTATTAACCTGGTATTCTCACTATTGTCTGTGGGGAATAGTAATCCTACATATAAAGCCACAGAACCCTATACAACTGAATACAGTTTGTATAATGACCATTATTTAGTCACAGGGGGCACAAGATTACATGAGCATGGAGAAAATTGCCCTCTGGCCCTCATCTAGTCAAAAAGGTAGAAAACAGTACAAAAGAAACCTGCATTATGCCAAGCAGAGGAATGCTCTGAAAATGTCTTCATACTGTAGTGCTTATGGACATATACTTTTCATCCACTCCATTGCCATGAATATGGTGGGGGTGGAAGAAACTTTGGCACTTGAATCTTCTGCCAAAAATAAACTGTGCCCAATTTCCCCACAGGAATGCATATTCCATCCCAGTGACAGCTTAATCCAGAAGGCTTTGCTTTGTTCAGAGAAGAAAATATAACTACACATACACTTCTAGAAGCACATACACACAAGCATATAAGCATACATCAGTTTATCCACATTTGTAGCCCCATATGCCCCATTTCACTTTCAAGCTCAATTGTTCTTTCTTTAATGGGAGACAGTTAAGTGGTCCTTGAACCAGAAGCAAGTAAGAGGCTTATGTATGGTCTCATGATATTCAAGTGGGTCTAGTCCTGAAGACAGGATGAAAAACACAGGAGTGGCTGGACTGCTCTCTTCTTAGCATTTTGCTAAACCCATTGTTGTGCTTTTCGAGTACCTTGAGCCAAGATTTTTCTCCACACAATTTCTATACATGACAAAACATCTGCTAAACACAAAAGATGTGCCTTGATAACTACTCCAGGTCTGTGCCATTCTCAGACTTGAATGTCTGACACCGATGGTCATTTCATCAGAGAAATCATCAGGAGAGTGAACTGAAGGCAGGAAGGTAAGCAGGTGGGGAAGAAAGAGAGAAGATGATCTTTCCTATTTCCCTGCAGGACAGTGGCCATATGACAGAAAAGAGCAACTTCTGAATAAAAAGGACCTCATTATCTCATTATATGTGCAGGCAGTACTATCACATAAAGCTGGGGCAGTTGGGCAAAATAAATACCTAGGACCAAGCTTGCATTCTCAGAAGTCACACAAAAATGGTGACTGTGGGATGTGGAGCAACAGGTCTATAGCCATTACTTGGGACCGAAAGACAAAAACTGCACAGATGGAAAACAAATGTGTCAGTATCCACAGCTGAAGACATACAGGATCTTTCTTGGTATCATAGAACTTTCAAAAGGGAGACCTGAAAAACTGTCATCCTGTGGGGTTACCTACCATAATGAGAAATACCACTGAAAAATACATTTATAGTTATTAAGAGGATAGCTTACTGTATGCCTATTTATCAATGACTGTTCTCCTCAGGTACCTATATTCAATCTAAAAGAAACCACAATCACAGCTTTCCAAATATGCTCACGTGACTCATGCTTTACCACACTACCTTTTCATAAACTTTTCATCAGGAGAACAGACTGTGAAGGACCACAGTAATTGATCTCAAATTCTGGTTGGCCATCCAGTTCTAGGAGTTATTTGCTTGCTTCTTAAGATCTGAATTTGTCATGCAAGGCACTACCCTCACACACATTTGCCCTGAAAAATGAACGCTCCGATTTCCTACCTCAGAGCATACGATATTCTGTCATGGACAGTATTGCTAGTTTCTGAAAAGAGCTTTTTTTCTCCTTTTCTGGATATGTTGAGTCCACCCATTTCTACCATTTCTTGGTGGATCTTTAAATATCTTTATCTAACCTCTGGACACCACTGTCACTGCCATAGCCTGGAAGCATGCCAAATGCAGATGTAGCTTTTGCATGATGACTGAAACAGGATGGCACTGATAATTTTTGAGGTATGTAAAAACCCCTAGTGTAACTAGGGGACTCAAGACTTGCCTTAAAATACAAAATTACATAAATAATACACCATTAAATAAATAAAATACTAAATATATACACTCAAGCATGCATACATAAAAACAGTATTATTGGTGAGAATTTACTTTGGTTGGTATTGCCATTATCTGCTTACTGTTAAACATCTAGATATGACAAACTGGGAACCCTCTATGGGACATTAACTAAAGTGAGTGGCAGGGAGTTAAAATTCTACTTTTAGGGGAGCGGACAAATTATGGTAGAACAGAATTTCCTCACAAGATACAGTATGTGATGTTTAAGGAAAAAGGCACTCAAAGAGTAAAGAAATCTCCACTTTGAAAATATCACTACTTCTACTAAAAAAATGGTAGAATGCATGACTTTATCTGAAAGTGTCTAGGTGAGGCACATGTCCAGAAATAATAACAAAAAAGGTATAGAACTGAAAAGCAATTTTCCCAAACTACTCTAATGATACTCCATGGTTGTATAGTTAAAATGTCAACAGGATTCTCTTGTGTTCAACTCTGAACTGAAAAAGGAAATCCAATTCAAGGAGTCCTATCTCTTTAGTACTTAGAAGAGCTATGGCAGCACACAAAATTGAAAAAGGTCATCAGAGTTGCTTCAGAGACACCTCTGACTTCCTGTGCACCTGAGCCCTGACATTTTCCAGGACATACAGCTACTAAAATTAAAAGGAAAAGTAATGGCCTGAATGTTATTTGGATATGTATTATTTACTTACTTATATAGCAGATCAATTTCAACCCTAATTATCCAAGTGCAAGCAGCTAAGTCATGCTGTTTATCCTGAAACTAGTTTTATAAAGACATTGGAGCATTTTAAATGAAAATAATTACATGATAACATCTCTGGAATTTCTGCAATTACTGTTGATACTGAAGTAGCAGTCACCCTGTCACCCTGTGTGACAAACTACACAACCACAGGGTTTGGGCACAGGTATGAGCTTCCAGAGGAGAAACAGTAAATCCAGTAAATGTCGTCATCATGCATATGAAAATTTTTCCTCACCTGAAAAGCCATTTGGGCCAGGAAAATGAGCTTATAATTTTCAAAAATCCTTGGCATGTGAAAAGAAAGGTCGAATATGTGACATCTTCTTTTAGGTTAGAGATACAACACTGAATATCTCCTGATTGTTCAGCCTGTTTAATTGCTTTGTGGAAGATGTATTGAAGGCCTTAGAGTTAGTACATTTCTTTTTATTTATTTGAATTTTGCTTTTTTTTGCTTTACTACTCATAAGATAATTGGTTTCCTACTGTAGGCTCCCATAAAGAGCTGACCCAAGCAATGAAAAATGCAAGAGGCTGAAAAGAGGCTTTTAAAGGAAATTTTCAGCAAACCAGGGCTGAGGGCTACAAACAGCAATCATCTTCTACTTCCTTATTTACTCAGCATGCAGACTCTCTCACTTGAACAAGCTCGTAATTTTAGAATGGGTGATCTCCCTTAGTCACTGCATTAGATCATTTGGTAGGTCTACAATGGGGAATTGTTTACACAAAATTCCTCCAAAGTCTTCCTTCTTGGCCCTGTGGGATGGCTTAACAGAAGGAAGATAAATTTTTGCAAGCACAGTCAGAAAGCACTGTCAGAATGGAGGCAGCCAACAAAGACCCGCGGGGATATACTGTGGTACAGACCAGCAGGAGATCACACCGTGTTCCCTTTCCTCTCACACGCAGCCCTGCCAACGTAAACATCTGGTACAAGCAGTAACTGATGTATCAGGCATCACTGCTGGAGGCAGAATTCTTGCACTTTGGAAAAAAAAAGTTGGCAAGAGACATTTTTACCTTCAGTGAAAGCTGGTAGATGGGGTTGACACTGCCCAGGCTGATACTCCCAGAGTAAGGAAGGGATGCTCTTCCAGCTGCCGGGCTGTAATGCTCTCTTGTCCTGTCATCCTGAGCTTCATTTTCTTTGACTTCAGCTACCTGAATGACAACAGTTGTCCTGTTTATTTTTTAATGTGCCATGATTATCTCGCACCATTACCAAAATATTCCCATCCATACAGAAAATAATATGGATGTACGCTAGAAAAACTGACTTTATTTCAGGAAGCAGCAAACATTTGAAGTAAGCAAGCTTCTTAGACAACTCTCAGGGAATAACTGTCCTCTGCAGAATCACCTGTTTAGCTGGGAAAACATGGCAATCATATATTAATATATTTGTTCCAATTTCATGTTGGTATTTATTAATTTTATGAGTACTATTTCAAGCACCTAAAAAAAAATCAAACATGTGGCAACTACATATTATAGATAAGAAAATGTGAATATGAGGAAGACAGCCCTTTCTGGAAAGGCAGTAATTTCACTATTCCTATTCTAGCTCATAGAAATGTTACACTTAAAATAATAATAGTAATAGAATAATAAGAATAGACATTTTACAGGCAACTTGAAGTTGTTAGAAACAATTCAATTGTTACTGCCTTGTGTTGTACTTCTGCTGCCATTGACTTTGCTGATTTGATTTTTTTTTACAAGTTCACTGTGGTCTAGGAGACTGCCCTGGGCAGCTGACAGGCTGAGCATCCTGTCATCCTCCAGCTGCCTGAGCTCAGTCATGAAGCTGCTCTGGCTTCTTGGTGAGGACTGACTAGCAGAGGGAAGAAAAACACTGTGTTTAAACAACCACAGCAAGAAATAATGTTTTACAGCAATTTTGAGCAATATTTTCTGTTTAATTACATCAGTTAATTATATTTAATTTCTGAAAGGCCAGTTTATTTTCTGTCCCAGTATACTAGATCTGAGGTTCTGGACACTCTGAGTGAAAAGGTTTAGGTCGTCATGGACTAGAACTTTATCTCTCTCCTAGTGCCCTTCCTCCTGAGACTACACAAAAGGACTCTGATCTTGTCAGGGATGGCAACTTGTAATCTATGTGGCAGCTGAGAAAACCAGAGAATAGCACAAGGCTGAGGAACCTCACTAGCAGCAAACAGAGTGGGAAAACATTGTCATATTCTGTTCTGCTGGACTGACCTTCTAACAGTGCAAGAGTCTGACTTCTTATGGGGAGCTCTCAGTCAGCCTCTGACTCACACCAAACCCCTGGATGATACAGACCTTGTAAGCACGCAGTCCCAGGTGGAACTGTGTGCAGTGTAAATGGACAGCTGTTTTCAGATCTCATTCCCCAGTATATGGCTTTCATTCTTCAAGGGGCAATTAAACTCCCTGACCCAGTTTGCCCTTGTATGAAGCTCCACCTCAAACAGGTGGAACAAATCTTTGTGGATTAAGTTAGTTAATTACATGAGATAACTGGAAACACACACTAGAGAAACAGGAGGTATTCTTGTTATTAATTTCACATGCCTTTTCATGTTTTATCTCACAGATTACAGTCTGCACAAAGTCCTTTCTATAACCACTTATAAAAGCATTTCTCCCCATCCTATATATTGGCATGACTGCAGCAGCCACTGAACTGCATCCTTGCAGGAATCAATTGTGATTTATTAACCAAATGCCCTAATTCCTAATAGTGCCATTATATGCTTGTACAGACTGGCATGGAATTTTATTTATACTTATTGGCTCAGGGTCACTGAAGCACTGCAGGGGGCTTTAATCCTGCTCTGCAAATTAAATGCAATGCACAGAGAAACCAAGCGGTAGAGAGGAGTGTGGGAATAATATCACAATATATTAAATTTCTAGCAGAGCTTTAGGTCAAGACAAGCCCTTTGGGAGAATAGATTTGAACAAATAAGTAAAAGAACTTCCTACACTTTCCAGACTCTTAAAATCTTTCTAATATGGGCTACTAACAATTACAGTGCAGTAGACCCAAACAGGCATATTAATTCTAGACTTAAAATTTCAGAGCAGGCAACAGACAAATCAAAATACAGTCCTTACCTTACTTTTTTTGTGAGTCTTGCATTAACAGCCTTGTCCAACAGCTGGTCTTCCAGCCTGTCCCTGCTGACAGTGAAATTAATGAAGGTAGTCTGAGCCTGCAGTTCTGGCTTGTAAGTGAGGGTTAGCCAGTTTAGTGTGAAGGATGAGATGAAAATTCTTGTTGAATTCACATTTTTTGTCTTCAGTCGTGGTGCATCTGGGAATGAATATAATGCACAAGAATGGGGATCTCACTAAATTAAAACCTTGTAAGTATCTCAGATTGCAAACAATGGGTACTGTATGATCTTAGCAGCATAACAAATGCATGCAAGCCAAGCTTTAGGTGCCTGAAACTTAAGAAACAAAATGAGGATGATTGAGCACACCAAAAGTGTAAGAATAATTTTTAATTGTTGTAGTTTAATTTGTATATACAGCAGACACAGGGAGATTATTCACTGCTGTACTGAAGAGTCATTGGCTTAGGGATAAATGTCTATCATCATAACTTACCAGAAACTTCGGAAACTTTTCAAACAAATGCCAGTGAGATAGTTTTTATTATAATATCCTTAAATATATAGCCTAAAAAACTAAACAGGGACATGTATTTATAACAGATGGATAGACTAGAGGAGAGGGAATGGCTGGCAACTGAAACGACAAAAATAATGTGTTTAAATTTAATTTTCTAAATGTTTCATTCCAAATTAATTATTTGTTGGATGAAAGAATGAGGTAGCCTAGGTTCACCTTTTAGTTACTGAAATCCCTTACTGAAGAGCTGTAATTTCCTGATCCCTTATCTTCAGTGAGGGGTGAAGCCTGTCCTAGAACAGCCACTCTGCCATTTTGAGGCCCAGCAGGGAGGCAACATGAAGTTCACCATCCTACTTCTGTGGCATAGCACCAAAAAAAGTTGAAAGATTACCTGTAGACTACAGCGTGTGCCATGTGTCTGGTCTGGTGTGACCCAGTGACACAACTTTTTGCCATTGACTTGCCCAGTGAAC